CCCTTGATTGCCGCTCGATCGACGAGCACCTTGATTCGGGACTCAAGTGCCTTGATTTCTGCATCCATCGCCTTGCGCCATTCCTTACGGCGTGGTCCCGTGAGTGCTTGGCGCGGATTCTTCAGCTGGATGACACGTGGCGCCGTTGAGGTGGCGGTGTGGAGCTCGAGAAGCTGCAGTCTAGAGACGGTGCTGTCGTGGCGATGCTGCGGGATAACATCGTGCACGTCATCACCGTCGCTCTCTGGTTCAGATGGTGCTGGCGGTGCTGCGCCTCTACCGCTTCCTCCTGCTCCACCGATTCCTCCTCCAGGGGAATCGTCGTCGTCGTCGTTGTCGTTGTGGCAATCACCTCTTGTGAAATCACCTCTGGTGTCCTGCTCCAGGATAGTCACGGCGGCTTCGTCTTCGGGTGTGGCATAGCTGTGCCCGTCGTTGGCGTAAACGCGATTCGCGTTTGCCCGCTCGTCTTCGCGGAATTGCTCGAGGAAGAGCCGCTCGTAGATGATAAAATCGCGCGCGTTCGTGACCTTCTGGCTAATGAGGTACACGATGGGCCATGCCTTGTGCTCGTGGCTGATGCCGAGGTGAATTCCCCAGCGCGCGCGGTGTCAGAATAGTGAAGGAATGAATGAAACAGAGAAGAGGGTTTGACTAGCAAACATTGGGATACATATAGCAAACCCTAACAGGGCTGTACTCACTATAGAGTACCCCACTGCAGGCTAGACAAACTACACATTCTGACACGCGGCTTGCGAATTTCCCGATAGTTGACGTTGGCGGGCGGTACAGCACCATGCATCCCCGCACGCGGAGCATGGATGTGTCGCCCTTGGTCCCTGTCCACTTCAGGTGCGGCAACAAGTTGCCGATGATGGTAGTGGTTGATAGTAGGTCGTGCACCCGCACGGCGTGGTGCATTGCGTAGTTCCAATTTATTGGCAGAAGCTTCGATTGCTCCATCAGCGCCCGCACCTTCGTCATGAGCATACGGTTCGTGCGTTCAGCTACGCCCTGCTGCAGATGCGCGTAGGGGAGGGAAATGTGATGCTCGATTCCCTTCTGCGCCAGATAATCCTGCAACTCCTTGCTCCTGAATTCCGCTGCGCCGTCCGATTGCCATATTTTCAGCTCCCCAAATTGCAGCTGCGCGTGCGCCAGCCAAAGGCAGAAGACTTCGTATGCTCTGCTGCGCGCCTCTACATTTACGATCTAGACGTAGCGTATTCCCGCGTCGGCGATGGTGAGCGTATACAGCTCGTCGTTGATTCCGCAATGGCCCACATTGAGGAATTCGATGTACACCTTGTGCTGCTTGGGGTAGCGGTTGGTTCCTGGTTCGAGCAACGGGAACGGTTGGTGACTTAGCGTGGCTTCGGGGCAGACGGTGCAATCATGCGGCTGTGTTGTGCTCCTCACCTCAAATCCATCAGGGCGCAAGAGCGCACTGTGAATAAATAGGAATGAGTGATTGACTAGGAAATGAGTTGGGTACAAATATGAACCCTAGGAAACTGTACCCCATAGTGTCTACCCCACTACAGACTAGACAGACTATGTGATTAATGTTTGACGCGCACCTGGTGCAAATACTCCGGCTTCGATGCAATTCTTTAGTGTCGTGCGCGAGGGATGACCAAGGCGCTGGTGCTAGAGAGCATCGTCGGCGCGGAATCCAGAGGTGTGCATGTAGCGTGCGCGCGCTGCTTCGGGGTCTTCGTCAGGTACTGGGGTAGGTTCCGCTGCTGCTTCTTCTGCTGTTTCTTCTTTGTCGTTTGCTGTGGTCAACATCAGCGCCAAGAACCTGTCGATAATTACGGAGAAGGGGATGTTGGTCCCAGGGATGGTTCCCGGGACAAAAGTTGGTTCGCGCGGCTCGGGTTCAGGCCCCTAAACAGTACGGCAGAGGTAGAAGGCTCGTTACCCCAGTCAATATTGTCCCAAGGGTCGTGGTGCGGCAGGATGTCAGGTGGGGGTAGTGTGTAATGCGGCGCGGAGGGCGACCAAGAGGAAAAACAAGAGGTACTGCCTGGTTTTCTTCTCCCCCACCTTGGGTCCTTGCGGGAAGCTCCCCAGCCTTCGCCGGAAGTGCCCCAACCGCTTGTCTCGCCGCTAGATGCGGCGCCCTACCCGCTAGTGATGGCACCAGTTGCGGTGCCCCATCCGCCAATGTCGCTCGCACCCCATCCGCCAGCGCTTCCCCACCCCCCTTCATTGGAGGCGTTCTCCTCTTCTCCACATCCGCTTGAGGCGAACGTGCCGCGCGATTCCGTAAGGCTCCGTTGGCGAAGCTCTTCCGCCTCGCGTCGCGCCAGTTCCTCTTCTTGCGCCACGGTGAGTTTTGTCGAAGGGTCGCGCCAGTGGGGGTAGATCTCCATGAATTTCTCCTTTGTGTAAGGTCGCGGCACGCGTTGAGCATCGAAGGTGCCAACGCCGGTGCCACGCAGGATTCCCTGAAGGTGTTGCGACGCTGACCCGGGGAGGGGATGTTACTCCGTTCCAAAGTCACATCGTGTTGCGACTTCGAGCTCCAAGGTTGACATTCCTTCTTCAGGCGGTGCTTCCCGCTCTACTGCGGCGATGGCGGCAAGGCCACGGCCAGCAATCGCGCTTGTTGAGGCAGTGGGTGTGTGGCAACCTCTACAGATGCCGTCTGGGTCGGGGTCATGCAGCGCCAGCTCGCGCGGGTGAGGGTGATGCGGCACCCATGGTCTTCCGTCAGGGTGTTTCCAGTCGCGCCAGTGAATGTGTTCGAAGCGCAGGGGAACGAGATCGATGATTTTCTACGAATCACCACTGCAGTCGGGAATGTCAAAGTCGAGGATGTATACTCCGTTCTCGGAGTGCGCGCGTCCGATCTGCTTGCGTGCCTTGTTCGGCGCGGTCAAGTAAAGCAGGATGTTGCACGTCTCGAGGTCGGTGCTGAGGTCAACTCCGCAGTCCATGAGTTGCACTGCCGAGAGAAGATGGAAGCGCAAAATCTACACAATCAGCACGTCGTTCAGCGTGATATGCGTCCTGCTCCCTCGAGCCTTGAGCACCACGATCCCTTGCACGCAGACGTATGTTGTTGGCCACGGTGACATAGGTCACGGCAGAAGTGGGGACGGCGTTGGATATGTAACGATCAAAGCCCACCATATGCTGCCCACAGCAGCTGTCTAGGTACCACGCGTTGTAGCGCCTGTTGTTGTTACGTGCGAGCAGCGCCCGTCCCGGAGTAACGTTATGCGGTGTGTCAAACTTGAGAAAATGTTCGCGCGAGATCCAATCGATCGGAGCTGCCCGCTAATCAGATACATGCGGGGAACTTTCAAGCAGCGGGAATGGGAGATTCCAGTCTTGGTTGTCGTCATTGCTGAAATCGTGGCGCGTGCTGAACGAATTGTTGTTCGAGAACACTCCGATTGGGTGACGTGCTGGCTCAGGTGATGGCGTGCGCACGCGGGGATGACGCGATCCGCTTGTCATCGTCATGTTGCCCATGACGTTGCAGACGGGGGCAGTCTGTGATGGCTGCTGTTGTTGATGATGAACCGATGGGTTCAGGTTGCGCGACAGGGGTTGGTGCCACTGGGCTTGACGCGTGTCGTTTCGTGCGTCTTATCGGCCAGACCAGTTGCTCGGATTGGTCTGACGAGGGCGAGATTGGAACTTGCATCGATCTGCCAGGTGCCCGAAGTTTATGCAATTTTTGCAGTAAAGGCACCGCGGCCGTCGCTCTTTTGTGTTGTCGTCGTAAAAGGCGAGGCGTTCCCGGTCTCGTCGCGGCGCTAATTGCTGCAGGTCCATATCCCTTTGTTCGACAAGAAGGGCGGCGCATAGGGCGGCCTCCAAGATGACCCCCTGCTGTCGGAGCAGCGCCTTGCAGAGCTGCCATTCTGGGCCGAGCCCTTGAAGCACAATATTCACGAAGATTTCTTCGGAAATGTTGCTTCCCAACTTCGCGTAAGCTCTGACAGCGATTAATGTAGCTGTTGGCCTTCTACCCTGGGGCTAGCTGATGGAGCACGCGGCTCGATGAAACCGAATCTTTCGGTTGGTACACACCGTTCAAGTGGCGCCAAGCGTCAAGGGCTGGATGTCTTTTACGATCGAATGCTCAATTGCTCCGCTGGCGACATGTTTCGCAGGAGAACCCCGTACGCCATCAACGACTCGTTGTAGTACTGCGCCCTGGCGTTAGCAGTATCTTCAGCAGGTCTCGAGTAGCTCCCGTCAAAATAATGGAATATTTGCATGTTTTGCAGCAGCAGCTCCAGCTCGAAGCTCCTCGTATAGAAGTCTCTGCCGTCAAAGCACACACTTGTCTATTTTTGATATGCTAAAAAACCTTGATTCGCAGAGAGAATTGCTTCTTCGCTGGGACGGGGGGTCTTGGGGGTTGAGCCATTTGTGTTGAGAGAGAAGGTGTGCGGGGCGGTATTATGGCCAATTGAGGCCGGTTGAGAGGGTTGGGATGTCAGAATATGTTATATTTGTCTAGCCTGCAGTGGGGTACTCTATAGCGAGTACAGCCCAATTTAGGGTTTCCTATATGTACTCAACTGCCTGCTAGTGAAACCCCTCTTCTCTGTTTCCATTCATTCGCTCACTATTCTAACATGGAATCAGAGCAGGTCGACCCTCATGGGTCGATCCTGTGCATGGGCCCACCGTTAGCTTCCGCTGCTGCTGTCCTGCCTATCGCGCGCCTCGGGCGCGCGCTGTTTTCCTGCCTGCCGCGCGCTCATGGCGCTCGGGGCGCGCGGCGGTTTTCTGCCCGTCGCGCAGCCCTGCTGGGTGCGCGGCGGTTTTCTGCGCCCCCGGGGACCTGCGCGTCGCCCCCCCGTCGCCCGTCGAAGCGCCCCCGGGGACCTGCGCCTCGCCCCCCCGTCGCCCGTCGAGGCGACCTGGGGGGCCACGCGTCCCCCCCCCCCGTCGCCCGTCGCGGCGACCTGGGGGGCCGCGCGTCGCCCCCCCCCCAGGTCGCCGGAGAATTGGATGTGGAGAATCTGATGTACAAGGATTGGAAGGCGGAGAATGAGGCGAAGATAGGCATGCGGTTTGGGGAGGTGAAGAGTTCCGGTTTGGAGCATGTGGAGCTGCCCTTGGAGCTGAGCAGCAGCAGCACCACCACAAGGCAATCTTCCCTTGTGAATGGGGGAGAGGAGGCCAAGGATGCAGAGGAAGAAGAGGAGGAGGTGCAGCAAGTGAGCGAGCGTGCACCGACACTTCCTTCTCGCACTACGAGTGCTCCACGGATCCGAGTCACCCCGCAGCAACGCCAAGGCCTTCATGTCCCTGCAGCTGAGGAGGAAGGAAGGGGCAAGAGGAGAATTCAAGCCCCTAATAGGCTGACCTATGATGCATTGGGGAAGCCAGCCAAGTCAGCTCTGGCCGGAGCGGCACTTATAGTTGGAGATGACGAGGAGAGTGACTACGAGGAGTGTGCCTTCGCGTTCTTCTCTCCGGTGGAGATGCCGGGGGAACCAGCAACTCTCAAGGAGGCCTTGGAGAGTAGTGATGCTGAGGAGTGGAAGAAGGCAATGGAGAGTGAGCTGAAGAGCATTGAGGAGAACAGCACGTGGGAATTGGTGGAGCTACCGGAGGGGCATAAGGCGATTACGTCCAAGTGACTCTTCAAGATCAAGTCCGACGCCGACGGCAAGATCGAGCGCTACAAGTCTAGGCTTGTGGCGAAGGGGTACCAGCAGAAGGAGAAGGTGGACTATAAGGAGTTGTTTGCTCCTGTGGTGAAGCCGACGACGCTGAGAACCCTACTCGCGGGTGCTGCCATCAAAGGATGGGTGGTGAAACAAATGGACGTGACAACCGCATTCCTCAACGGCGTCCTAGAGGAAGAGATTTTCATGGCGCAGCCAGAGGGGTTCGATGATGGTAGTGGCAGAGTTTTGAAGCTGAAAAAGGCCCTTTATGGACTGAAGCAGGCCCCTAGGCAGTGGTACTTGAAGTTGCGAGGAGTTTTGGAGGAGATCGGCTTCACTCCCTCAACGGCCGATCACTCATTGTTCATGCTTGGCGAGGGGGAGCAGAGGAGTTTCATGGTGGTTTATGTGGATGACATCCTCATTTTCTCACCCTCCTCTGACCTTGTGAAGGAGGTGATGCTGAAGCTTCAAGACAAGTTCAAGTGCAAGGCCCTTGGTGACGTGAGCTTCTACCTTGGGCTCCACATCGAACGAGATGTGGAGAAGCGATGCATGCGGGTGCATCAACGGAAGTACGTAGAGGCATTGGCTGCCAACTTTGGGCAGAGTGAAGGCCTTGTGGCTACACCCTTTCCCTCTGGGTTCAAGTGTGTGAAGGGACCAGAGGAGGAGAGCGTTGGTGAAGAGGAGAGGCGCCGTTTTCACTCGTTGGTGGGCAGCCTCATGTACGCGGCGGTAAACACCCGACCGGACGTCGCGTTTGCTACCGGACAGTTGGCTAGGGTTGTTCAATGCCCTAACGAGGAGCAGGTAGCAGCTGGAATGAGGGTGGCCAAGTATCTTGGCCAAACACCGACCGTTGGGCTGCAATACTCGGCGGCGGCGCAAAGGCGCCAAAAGGGCGCGGATGGTATTGAACCCGGGCGTTTGTTCCTCACCGCATTCTCGTATGCTTCTTTTGCATCAGAACCAGAGGACATGACAAGTGTTGGAGGGTTCATTTGCTGTGTTGGTGGAGGCCCAACTGCTTGGGAGAGCAAGAAGCAGGTGGATCAAGCATTGAGCTCGGTGGAGTCCAAGTACATGGCACTCTTTCGTGCCGTACGGGAGATTGTGTGGCAGCGGCGTCTGTTGGCCGAATAAGGGGAGGAGCAGCAAGGACCTACCCCACTCTAGTGTGACAGCCAGGGTGCCATTGCTCTTGCTAAGAACCCTGTGTTGCATGGCCTCACCAAGCACATGAGGGTGAAGTGGCATTGGACGAGGAGCATGGTGGCGGCGGGTGAAGTTGAGTTGCACTATGTGAAGACGACAAGGCAGCCAGCTGACATGATGACCAAGAGGCTGGTGTAGCAGTAGCATTGGAAGTGTTGCAAGCTGGCTGGGATGGCTATGAACTGAGAGAGCAAGATCCTAAGGCCATCAATCCGAGGGGGAGTTTGTTGGTGCAACCCTACGGTTTGCATTCGGCTTGTTGTCCGTGTGCGTGCATGCGTGTGTGCATAGAATGGTATGAGGGCATGAAATAATATATATTTCATGCTTACAATAGTGTGTGAATGATGAGGCATGATTTTGAATGTGTGGGTCGAGTCAATAGCGAGTTATCGCTAGTCGCGTGTCACGTCGTCGTTTGCGTGTCGTGTGCGGTTTTCTATTTTGTCGTGTGTGGAACGTTCGGCGTGTCGCAGGTGTGTGCAGCAGACTTCCAAGAACTCAAGGAAGAATTTACCTTGAAGAACCAGAGCCTTGGTTTCAAGAATCAAGTGATTTCGAAGCTCTCCAAAAGGGTAAACTTTAAGATAGTGAGAATAGTTGCATTACTTTGTGTAGTGTAACATTTCTCTTGGTGTAGGCCCTTGTGGAGGGTAGTTTCGAGACCCTTCGTGGTTGGGGACAGTGTGGCACTGTTCCACATCACTGTACCTCGGCTCTTGGGGTTTGTAGGAGCTGGGAGTCATTCCCAACTCGTAACTCTTCCTATCTTGTGTTCTAAGACTATAGTGGCTGCCATAGTACCGTTCATTCAAACCGACACTGTGTCGTCAATTCTTTATGAAATCGTTTGATTTAAATTGCCTATTGTAGGCAACGTTTAGACGCTCCAGATCCAAGTTGAATCAGGTCGTTTGAAGCTGTGAGCAGAACGCTATCAACGTTTGAATCCGCTGTGAAGAAATCCGACTGTGCACTCTTTCTTTCGTTTTAGGCACATTCAAGCCTATTGTGACTATAACAGGGACCGGGCCGGGCGCGGGCTAGGTACGGGGCCGGGCGCTGGGCGAGGGACGGGGCCGGGCGCTGGGCGAGGGGCGGGGCCGGGCGCAGGCTAGGGTCGGGGCCGATCGCTGGGCTAGGTACGTGGCCGGGCGGGGCTACGGACCGGGCCGGGCGCAGGCTAGGTACGGGGCCTGGCGCTGGGCGAGGGATGGGGCCGAGCACTGGGCAAAGGACGGGCCGGGCGCGGGCTAGGTACGGGCCGGGCGCGGGCTAGGTACGCGGCCTGGCGCTGGCGAGAGACGGAGCCGGGCGCGGGCTAGGTACGGGCCGGTCGCAGGCTAGGTACGAGCCGGTCGCGGGCTAGGTACGGGCCAGGCGCGGGCGTGAGACGGGGCCGGGCGCGGGCTAGGTACGGGCCGGGCGCGGGCTAGGTACGGGCCGGTCGCGGGCTAGGTACGGGCCGGGCGCGGGCGAGAGACGGGGCCGGGCGCGGGCTAGGTACGAGCCGGGCGCGGGCGTGAGACGGGGCCGGGCGCGGGCTAGGTACGGGCCGGGTGTTGGTGCAACCCTACGGTTTGCATTCGGCTTGTTGTCCGTGTGCGTGCATGCGTGTGTGCATGGAATGGTATGAGGGCATGAAATAATATATATTTTATGCTTACAATAGTGTGTGAATGATGAGGCATGATTTTGAATGTGTGTGTCGAGTCAATAGCGAGTTATCGCTAGTCGCGTGTCACGTCGTCGTTTGCGTGTCGTGTGCGGTTTTTCTATTTTGTCGTGTGTGGAACGTTCGGCGTGTCGCAGGTGTGCGCAGCAGACTTCCAAGAACTCAAGGAAGAATTTACCTTGAAGAACCAGAGCCTTGGTTTCAAGAATCAAGTGATTTCGAAGCTCTCCAAAAGGGTAACCTTTAAGATAGTGAGAATAGTTGCGTTACTTTGTGTAGTGTAACATTTCTCTTGGTGTAGGCCCTTGTGGAGGGTAGTTTCGAGATCCTTCGTGGTTGGGGACAGTGTGGCACTGTTCCACATCACTGTACCTCGGCTCTTGGGGTTTGTAGGAGCTGGGAGTCATTCCCAACTCGTAACTCTTCCTATCTTGTGTTCTAAGACTATAGTGGCTGCCATAGTACCGTTCGTTCAAACCAACGCTGTGTCGTCAATCCTTTATCAAATCGTGCAATCTAAATTGCTTATTGTAGATGACGTGAAGACGCTCCAGATCCAATTTGAATCAAGTCATTTGCAGCTGTGAGCAGAACGCTATCAACGTTTGAAGCCGCTGTGCAGAAATCCGTCTGTGCTCTCTATCTTTCGTTTTAGGCACATTCAAGCCTATTGTGACTATAACACCGGGCACGGGCAAAGAAAGGGGCCGGGCACGGGGCTAGGGGCCGACGGGCCGCGAAGGCTAGGAGCGACGGGCCTAGGGGGGGTACTCGCAGCGTAGCAGGTGGTGGGCCCAAGGAACCTGCTCTGATTCCGTGTGAAAATAACGACGAGAATGAATGAAGTAGCAAACAGTTGGTTACAAGTACTAACCCTAATTGAGTTGTACCCCTTATGGGCTACCCCCCTACAGCCTACACAAATGTATAAGCTATAATGTACTGACACGCGAGCCGCCCCTGCAGCCCAGCGCGCTGCCCCTGCTGCCCTCGTGTCGTCCCTGCTGCCCTGCGCGCCGCCCCCTTGCGGCCCGCCCGTCACCCCTAGGCCCCGCGCGCCGCCCCTGCTGCCCTGCTCGCCGCCCCTGCAGCCCCGCGTGCCGCCCCTTGCGGCCCGCCCTTCGCCTCTGCAGCCCGCGAGCCGCCCCTACAGCCCCGCGCGCCGCCCCTTGCGGCCCTCTCGCCGCCCTCTGCAGCCCCGCGCGCCGCCCCTTGCGGCCGGCCCGCCGCCCCTAGGCCCGCGAGCCGCCCCTAGGCCTGCGAGCTGCCCCTCTTGGAGCCTGCGCGCCGCCACTTGCAGCCCGCTTGCCGCCCCTTGCTGCTGCCTGCCCTGTTCCTTGCGCTGCCCAGCTTCTGCCCGCCCTGCGTGCTGCGCTGCTATGGCTTCTCTCTGCGTACTCGCGTTCGATCATGAGGGCCGCCCGATCCAGTTCAACACGTGGCTCGACGACTTAAAGCTGTACCTACTGAGCGACTCTAGAGACAGCATTTCGTTGTTTGACCACATGTCTGGAGCCTCTCCCGCCCCTCCCACCATAGCTGACAGTGCGACTCGCTCACAGTGGCTTTCCTATGACGCTGCTGCTCACTGTTTCTTTCGCGACAGCACCACCCTCACTCCTCTCTTTGCACCTGTACCGGTCAGACTGGCTGACCCCTCAGGGGGCCCAGTCCTTGCCCGTTCCTCCACTATTCTCCCGTGTCCGGCGGTTCCTGTCATAATGTTATAGTGCTTACATTTGTGTAGGCTATAATGGGGTAGCCCATAAAGGGTACAACCCAATAAGGGTTAGTACTTGTACCCAACTGTTTCGTAGTTCATTCATTCTCGTTCGTTAGTTTGACATGGTTTCAGAGCAGGTCCTTCGTTAGGACCGATTTTTTTTTTTGGGCCCACCACAGCGCTGCCCCACTAGCCGCCCTGCTGGCTCATGCCCCGCCCCTAGCAACCCTCGTGCCGCACCTGCTGCCCCGCCTGCCGCCCTCTTGCGGCCTGCACGTCGACCCTAGGCCCCTTGCGCCTGCCCCTTGCGGCCCGCCCGTCAACCCTAGGCCCCGCGTGCCCCGTCCACCCTAGGCCCCGGCACGCCCCATCGACCCTAGGCCCCGGCCCCTCCCGTCGACTCTAGGCCCCGGCCCGCCCCGTTGACCCTAGGCCCCGCACGCCCCGTCGACACTAGGCCCTGGCTCGCCCCGTCGACCCTAGGCCCCGGCGCGCCCCGTCCCGGCCCCTCCCGTCGACCCTAGGCCCCAGCCCGCCCCGTCGACCCTAGGCCCCGGCACGCCCCGTCGACCCTAGGCCCCCCCCGCCCGTCGACCCTAGCCCGGCCCGCCTGTCGCCCCTAGGCCCCGGCCCGCTCGTCGACCCTAGGCCCAGGCCCGCGCGTTGATCCTGCTGCCCCGCGCGCCCGTCGTCCCTAGGCCCGGCCCGCCCGTCGACCCTAGGCCCCGCCCGCCCGTTGACCCTAGGCCCCGGCCCGCCCGTCGCCCCTTCTTCCCCGCGCGCCCGTCGACCCTAGGCCCGGCCCGCCCGTCGACCCTAGGCCCCGGCCCCCCGTCGACCCTAGGCCCCGGCCCGCCCGTCGCCCCTTCTACCCCACGCGCCCGTCGACCCTAGGCCCGACCCGCCCGTCGACCCTAGGCCCCGGCCCGCCCGTCCCCCCTGCTGCCCCGCGCGCCGCCACTTGCGGCTCGCCCCTAGCCCCTGCAGCCCGCGAGCCGCCCTTGCAGCCCCGCATGCCGCCCCTGCAGCCCCGTGCGCCGCCCCCTACGGCCCAAACTTCTCCCCTGCAGCCTGCAAGCCACCCCTGCAGCCCCGTGCGCCGCCCCTTGCGGCCCTCTCGCCACCCCTGCAGCCCTGCGCACCGCCTTTTGCGGCCCGCACTTCGCCCCTGCAGCCGCGAGCCGCCTCTGCAGCCCTGCGCGCCGCCTCTTGCGGCCCTCTCGCCGCCCCTGCCACCCCACCCGCTGCCCCTAGCCCCCTAGCCGTCCCTTGCTGCCCGCTCGCCGCTTGCGTGCGGCCAGCTCGCCGCCCAATTGCGGCCCTGGTGCCTGCTAGCCGCCCTGCCTTCCCTCCGTGCTGCCCTCTTGGT